GTCATACCATTGACGAGGAGGTATGATTGTGCACCGTCGTCTACGGTAGACACACCCTGGATCAGGGTCGACGCCCGGCGTCTACGTATGAGGCAGCCAGCATACGGCGTCGCCGCCGCCTCTGTACAGAGGTTCTATGCCTCGGTGAGACCAGGGTGAACAGGCACTCCGCGTCGTCCGGTGTCACCCTCACTTTCTGCTCCTTTGGAGCTCCGATGTTATCTACAACATCCGAGAAGAACTGCTTACCCCGCAGTCTTCATCCAGTGAATACCGTGCCACTCCACGCGCATCTGACGGGCCGTGCCCAAGATGCCTCGGATTCTGTCCGACCACGCCAACAATGGTATGCAGCGACTGCTTCGCAACGAGAGCAGTGCTCAGTGGTTTTTGTGCCACTCCACGCGCATCACGAGGGGCGAGGCCTCGATGTCTCGGCCCTTGGCCGATCATGTCACGCATGTCATGCAGTGTCTGCTTTGATTCTCGAGCAGCGCTCAGTAGTTTACATGCCACTTCACATGCATCACGAGAGCCTCACCCTCGATGCCTCGACCCTCGGCCGACTATGTCACACATGACATGCAGCAACTGCTTTGAAACTTGAGCAGCGCTCAGTGGTTTACGTGCCACTCACGATCAGCCCGGGAGCCACACTCGAGACTCCTGTCCAATGCACCGTTGGTGTCTACCAACTCGGACATTCCAATGTCTAGCACGTTGACTTTCTCGGACCATGCTCTCGCCAATAGCGCTTTTGTCTCCTAGCAGAGGTACCAGGAGACGTGCGCGTAGCACCCAAGGTCTTTGACCTCCAATCAATCCATGGCTCATGGTATTCCAACCATGCCATTCCTAGCATGAGATCATACCTTGCATCCAAGTCTAAGACTAGACAGCGTTCCACGCTATCAGAGTCAAGAAACTTGACTCCGAGGTCCACAGGGATCTTCGGGACCGTGACACGCGTCCCCGTCGCTGATCGGACAGTGACGATGTCACTCACCCGCGCTTTCAGCGCCTCAGCATACAGCTGACTTCCCTAAATTGTGGAGCGTCGAGCATAATTGCCCGACGCCCCAGAATCGATGAGGTTTTCCATGGCTTCTTGAAGCCCTTTACGGCCGCCCCACGCCAGCAGGCCCGGCTTACACACACGTTCCGTGTTTAAGGGCACGTAGCTCTTCGGGGCTGGGCCGTGTTGACCTTTGCCTCCTAGAGGCTCACCAGAACTCTGTTCTTCCCCAATAGGGCGCCCCGCGCATACTGAGTGGAGTCGTTTCCCTGCTACGAACCAGACTGGTAGGCGTTGGGGCGATAGTTCGAAGAACCTTGATGCGCCTTGCGCAGGGGGCAACCGTTCCGAAGGTGACGGGTG